AATTACATTTTTTTCTTAGCTTAGTGAACCTTGTAGAAATTCCCTTTGCAACAATACCCAATCATTTGCAAGGAAAAAACAATATATTTGCTTGCACATGATTGAATAATTGAGGTTAATAGAGAATTGCCTCATTCAATGAGTGAAAACTCCCTCCCAAAGTGAAATTTCCCTTACAAAGTGAACAGACCATTTGCCTATAGTAAATAACTACAGTGTATTAAGCAATAGCTTGTAGATTTTGCCAAGAGAGTAATATAGTATTCCTATAACATCAACCCTACCTTCCATCTTGCAGTTCTACAGGCTGCTATCCTGTACTGAAAATGCTAAGTATGATTTCACTGCACACTAAGCACCTCTCACAGTGCACATTCAAAGCTGCAGCCAATTAAATAGAGCCTATCACACTTATGGGCTGGGGGATATCTAGCCTCATCTAATCATTTCCTCCACGACCTGACTGTCCCTTCCTACTCCTTTCAAACACAGAGGCTCAGGATCTCATGTGGGCAAATCTAGGGTGGTCTGCATGTAAATGTATTCTGCCTAAAACATCTACTTTTAGTGTCAGGACTGCAAGCTTTTTTAAGAAGGGGCACTGGGGCAAGGTGTTGTGATGTTGGTTCCACCCACAAGCAGTAATTTGATTGCACTGCCTAGGGAAGCACACAGACCTAGTAATGATGTCACTGAATATACAATAAGACATGTAATGAAAACTAAAAGGCCCACGTTAAGACATTTCAAGCAGTAGTGAGCCAAACTGCCCTGGTTTCAGTTCAAACAGGGTTCAGTGAACTTCAAAGAAGTTTGGTTTGTTGAACCTGAACCCCATATAAATCAATGGGGGCCAAATCTGTCAAATTAAAAATAGCCATTTTCTGGGCTAATGGGTAAGGGAGTGTCACAAATGTTATTTTATGAGGGCTGGGCACTGCCCTGATGAATGCAAAGAAATAAAACATACATTCGACAAGGAGCAGGATTTTTTTTTATATGCTTAAAAATGTCCAATGCTTTCAAATAACATGCCTGGAGGGTGTTCTAATCCTGCCTGTGAAGGGCTTATGACATTCAAAGTATCTTCAACTATACTATAATTAGTAAAAGCACTTTAGAAAAAACATTGCTAATCTTTCTTACAACACTTTCACTCCAGCTTCAAATATGAGTGCGTGTGTTGATATATATATACATTGATATATATATATATATATATATATATATATATATATGTAACATAGCGTTATTATTCTCTATTGGGTAAAGGGGTATTATACTGTAGTTTGCTGCAGCACAAAATAGATCAGAATTTGTATAAAACTAATATAAAAAATAGACATATATAGATAAAAAAAGCAAAGGCAATACAAAACACATTGGAGACAATTTGAAATATTACATTTTGGAGTAAAAAAATGAGTACATCTGACAAGCTGTTGAACAACAGGACAATAACTGTTTAGCAGCATTTTGGTTTCACTTAGCAGAGGGGAATGACAGAGGACATGCGTAGCTGAGAATTAATGTGCATATCCCCATGTGTTGACCCTCAAAGTTATGTATAGGTTGTAAAATAAAGTTGCTGCAGCATCAGTCAAGTGTTCTCACAAGTATACTTGAATAAAAACAAAAAACAGATGCTGCGTTACTAATATGAATACAAAAAATAAAAATTCACCACCAATCCTAAATTAATTTTATAAATGTATAAAATAAAGCAATAGTCTAATAAACATTAAATAACTGTAAACTCCTTCTCATACGCACACATTCATTTTCAAATGCTGAAATATCTGTCCAAATAAAGTACAAGTACTATAGTTCCAACTATAACCAAACTTAGTGCCAAAATGTATATCCATAAAAGTTTGTGAACTACGGTGTCATCCAAATTCTTCCAAGTGTGCAACCAAAACGTCAGTGCTGCAAAAACCGCTTCTACTACTGGCACCCGTGCTCCACCACAGTGCTCTAAATGCTTGTACCTTGCAGGAATGACCCAAATTACTTCAGGTCCAACAGTGCTTTTTTCCTTTTAGATAAACATCTGTGCCTTTAATGCACACTCTCCTCTATGACCTCTCAGGCACCACACAGGTTTCTGGGTGTATATCCCTTTACGATTGTGATCTTTCCTGACTGGCCATCCTGTGTCACTCCATTGTCAAAAATATAAAAGAACCACCATAGTGTAGCAGATTAAGCAAACTCGAAAGTAACTAAAAATTGCACTTACAGGGCTTTAAAAACACTCCACACATCCCACAATAGTATTAGTATACCACAGGTTCCATTCCGGACATAACTTCCGGTTCCGTGTGTTATGAAAATTTTATAGATGGCAGCTCCTATTCTCATATTGATTAGTGCTTCCAAATTAATAATGGCTTTTTTTCTATCATGCTCTACAAAGACAATCTTTTCCTGGCAATTTTATAATTTATTTTCTGTTGTTAGTTTTAGCTAGATAATAAACCACAAACACTACAAACTAAAGTTCTTAGTTTCCATCATCTTACATATTTTCCTGATGTCACAGCATAATATATTCTAACAATATCATGCGGTCATGCAGAGATGTCCGTAAATCCAAGGTGTTCTTGAGCTTACCACTGCACAAGGAAAAGGGACGCATACTGTAGGGGTTGATTTATTAAAGGCAAATAGACTTGGCACTCTGCAAAAGCAGTTGCTCCAGAGCATAGTAAATGAGCAGAAACTGCTGACTTCCATCATCCAATCATGTGCAAGCAAAAATGCAATTTTTTTTTCTTGCACATTATTGGTTATTCTTTGCTATTATTTGCAAAGTGAAGCTTTACCTCATTTACTAAGCTTTAGAGCACCTACACTTGTAGAGTGCAACTGCACTTTGCAAAGTGCACCGTCTATTTGCCTTTAGTAAATCAACCCCATAATTTCACAATCCACACATTCTGCATTGGGTTAAAATATAAAAATAAAAAAAAAACAAAAAGTACCACCAATCTGTGTATGAAAAAACAGAAAATCATTACCCAGATCAAAAACTAAAAAATAGCTGGCTGCAGATGGCATCTATCCTAACAGAATGTGTGAACTTGGTATAATTGTATTTATTGCTCTCACATCATGGACTGCACATTAACACTAGGTTCACACCTGTGCAGATTGCAGTTTGTCCATTTTTCATTTGTGCTGTGAGGTGCGGTTTGCATTTTTTTTTTTTTTTCAATTTGATTGGCCAATAGGAAAAAGACACTGGTTTGATGTCACAGGACATCAGATAGCATGTTTTTCTTCCTGTAGTCTGTGCATGCTGCAGATCTTTCACCATCATGGCTACAATCTCCTTATTCCTTGCGATTTCCACATTCACAGCTACAGTCATGCAGGAAGAGGAAAAAGAGGAACAGAGGAAAATAAGCAGATATTGGATACATCTGGTGATAGCCAATAGACAGCAGAGGGGGTAATTTTAGATCATGAATAACAATTTGAGAGCACACGAGGATACATTTTTCCAATACACATGGATGTCTACAAAAAAGTGAGCACAAGTTTTGAACCTTTCCTGTAGCTATGTATGTTTGTCATGACCTCCCCCTCCCCCTTTCACCCTTTGTTTCCTTTTTTTTCATCTTCTTCTTCTTCCATGTTTTGTGTTTCTTCTTTTTTTCTTCTTTACACCTTTCTTTTCTTTTTTTTCATCACTAACCCTTTTTTAACAGTTTTGATGAATTGCTGGGTCAATTCAGCAGCAAGTTGGAGCAACAAAACACCTTCTTCTGGGACTCCATCCCACCAGTAGAAAGGCTGATGACCACATTAAGGTAAGTGTTAACAATTGTATAACAAGTAATAATGACAATATATGTTGAATTACAGAAAAAACTTTAATTTTGTTTTTTTAAATACAGTTTTTTTTAATGAAAGGTCCCGGTCTGCTCTTTCGATCGGGACCTTTCCCAATCATGTGACCGACGTGACGACGCGTCACGGCGGTCACATGATCCGTAAACCCCGCCTCCTGGCTTCTGGAACTCTTAAAGGGCCGGGAGGCACCGGCGGAAAGGGGTTAAACAAAAGGCTGAGTTAGCGTGAGTCCCAAACCACTGAACTGTGCTGTGCTGTCTGTTCTAATATTCTGAATCTGATTCCGCCACATTCTACCACCTGATTCTGCCAGGATTCCGCCCTCTGCTGACTTTTAATTGCCATGTATGTATGACATTTTTGGAGGAAATATTTTCACCAGCAGTGCACTCTGGATGTATATACTGAGATAAAGGGGGTTACTAAAATATTTGAACTTTACATTTCTGAAAGATAAGTAATGGATAGTTCATGTTATGACAGGTTTGCTTTTCCTATATAATGTTTATAGATGTTATACACTTATATCACCTACTCTCCTCTCCCTTAGGCGCACCCTGAAAACCCATCTCTTCAGGGAAGCCTACCCCGTCCCCTGCTAATTACCGATCTCCTCCACTCTTCCTACCACTCCATCCCCCACAGCTTTTCCTCCTGTACCACTATCCCCCCCTCCTAGATTGTAAGCTCCAAGGAGCAGGGCCCTTGAACCCCTCGTGTATCGCATTGTATTGTTACTGTACTGTCTCATGTATTGTCTCCCATTGTAATGTACAGCGCTGAGTGAACTATTGGCGCTTTATAAATACTGTATAATAATAATAATAATTGGAGATGAGCGAAGTATTCAAAAATTCGATACGACTGATTCGGCGAATTCGTGGACAATATTCGATTCGAGTCGAATATATTCGCTGTGAATTTAACTTAAAAAAGGGTGTTTCTAGGCTTCAGAGAGACTTAATATTAGTGCAGAACACTGTACCTTTAATTTAAATGCCCTTGGAGTCTGCTGGGGAAGAGAAATAATACTGTCAGTCAGTATGACATGCAGATGAGTGCCGTCGATCTTAGAACCACCGCACACTTCACTCATTTGGCCAGTCACGGGGCCAAAACCAGTGTTTGTAGCCACAGTGTGGCGGTGGAGGCAGCAGAAATGGGAGGCCATACAGCAACCTATGACAAAATGGAAACCAGCAGGAGTGTGAGGAGACCTCAAAGTGGCACATGGCAGAGTGGGAGCAATGGGAGGCGGTACAGGGACCCATGTCACACTGTGGACCCAGCAGCAGCGTGACCAGGCGGTACGGAGGCCCATGGCAGATTACAGGCCTGGCAGCAGCAATGGGAGGCCCGTAATCTGTCAGCACCCTATGACAAAATGGAACCCACCAGCAGTGTGAGGAGACCTGAAAGTGGCACATGGCAGAGTGTGGCGATGGAGACAGCAGCAATGGGAGGCCGTACAGGGACCCATGAGAGACTCTGGACCTGGCAGCAGCATGAGGAGGCGGTATAGGGGCCCATGGCAGATTAGGGGCCTGGCAGCAGCTATGGGAGGCCCGTAATCTGCCAGCACCCTATGTCAAAAAATTCAACACACCAGCAGTGTGAGGAGACCTGAAAGTGGCACATGGCAGAGTGTGGCGATGGAGACAGCAGCAATGGGAGGCCGTACAGGGACCCATGACAGACTCTGGACTTGGCAGCAGCATGAGAAGGCGGTATATAGGGGCCCATGGCAGATTAGGGGCCTGGCAGCAGCTATGGGAGGCCCGTAATCTGCCAGCACCCTATGTCACAAAAAAATTCAACACACCAGCAGTGTGTGAGGAGACCTGAAAGTGGCACATGGCAGAGTGTGGCGATGGAGACAGCAGCAATGGGAGGCCGTACAGGGACCCATGAGAGACTCTGGACCTGGCAGCAGCATGAGGAGGCGGTATAGGGGCCCATGGCAGATTAGGGGCCTGGCAGCAGCTATGGGAGGCCCGTAATCTGCCAGCACCCTATGTCAAAAAATTCAACACACCAGCAGTGTGAGGAGACCTGAAAGTGGCACATGGCAGAGTGTGGCGATGGAGACAGCAGCAATGGGAGGCCGTACAGGGACCCATGAGAGACTCTGGACCTGGCAGCAGCATGAGGAGGCGGCATATAGGGGCCTATGGCAGATTAGGGGCCTGGCAGCAGCTATGGGAGGCCCGTAATCTGCCAGCACCCTATGTCAAAAAATTCAACACACCAGCAGTGTGAGGAGACCTGAAAGTGGCACATGGCATGAGAGACTGTGGACCTGGCAGCAGCATGAGGAGGCGGTATAGGGGCCCATGGCAGATTAGGGGCCTGGCAGCAGCTATGGGAGGCCCGTAATCTGCCAGCACCCTATGTCAAAAAATTCAACACACCAGCAGTGTGTGAGGAGACCTGAAAGTGGCACATGGCAGAGTGTGGCGATGGAGACAGCAGCAATGGGAGGCCGTACAGGGACCATGACAGACTCTGGACCTGGCAGCAGCATGAGGAGGCGGTACAGGGGCCCATGGCAGATTAGGGGCCTGGCAGCAGCTATGGGATGCCCGTAATCTGCCAGCACCCTATGACAAAAAATGGAACCCTGGGCTGGGGCAGGAGAACAGCCGTATCTTTATCACGGTTTTCCCAGGCCACCGAATGGCGACGCTGTATATGCTGACGCAACGCTGTAGGTCCCAACATGGGCCCCCTGGCCACGCTTGACTTTCTGGCCACATAGTCGACATACGGCTACGTTTACTTCCTCGGGCGGCTTGACGAAAAATTGCCACACCGCCGAGTAGGAAACTTTGCCCCAGCACTCCTCGCTGGCTGACTGCTACACCCCTCCGTGCGCACCGGCACCACTACTGGCCGTGGTGGTAGGCTGCAGTGAAAGTGGTGCTCTACACCGTGGCCGTTTGCCTCCACTGACACTGCTGCGACCCTGCTGCCTCCTGGCAGCAGCAATGGGAGGCCGTACAGGGACCCATGACACACTCTGGATCTGGCAGCAGCATGAAGAGGCGGTACAGGGGCCCATGGCAGATTAGGGGCCTGGCAGCAGCAATGTGAGGCCCGTAATCTGCCAGCACCCTATGACAAAAAATTCAACACACACCAGCAGTGTGAGGAGACCTGAATGGCACATGGCACATAGCAGAGTGTGGCGATGGAGACAGCAGCAATGGGAGGCCGGTACAGGGACCCATGACAGACTCTGGACTTGGCAGCAGCATGAGGAGGCGGTATATAGGGGCCCATGGCAGATTAGGGGCCTGGCAGCAGCTATGGGAGGCCCGTAATCTGCCAGCACCCTATGTCAAAAAATTCAACACACCAGCAGTGTGTGAGGAGACCTGAAAGTGGCACATGGCAGAGTGTGGCGATGGAGACAGCAGCAATGGGAGGCCGTACAGGGACCCATGAGAGACTCTGGACCTGGCAGCAGCATGAGGAGGCGGTATATAGGGGCCCATGGCAGATTAGGGGCCTGGCAGCAGCTATGGGAGGCCCGTAATCTGCCAGCACCCTATGTCAAAAAATTCAACACACCAGCAGTGTGTGAGGAGACCTGAAAGTGGCACATGGCAGAGTGTGGCGATGGAGACAGCAGCAATGGGAGGCCGTACAGGGGACCCATGACAGACTCTGGACCTGGCAGCAGCATGAGGAGGCGGTATATAGGGGCCCATGGCAGATTAGGGGCCTGGCAGCAGCTATGGGAGGCCCGTAATCTGCCAGCACCCTATGTCAAAAAATTCAAACACACCAGCAGTGTGAGGAGACCTGAAAGTGGCACATGGCATGAGAGACTCTGTGCACCTGGCAGCAGCATGAGGAGGCGGTATAGGGGCCCATGGCAGATTAGGGGCCTGGCAGCAGCTATGGGAGGCCCGTAATCTGCCAGCACCCTATGTCAAAAAATTCAACACACCAGCAGTGTGTGAGGAGATCTGAAAGTGGCACATGGCAGAGTGTGGCGATGGAGACAACCCACCGACTGTTTTGCTCGCTGCCAAGCTGCCACCCTCTTCTCCTGATGATGCGGAAGCAATAGCCTGATGACGACGAGGCTGCCAAGTGCGATCAGCCTCATCATCATCAATTAGGGTCTCCGCCTCACTACTAGCCCCCTCGGCTGCGTGTGGGTCAGGAGACAGACCTGTCTCTACACCGGCTACCGAGCCACTCTCCTCGCCACTACTTCTTCGCCTGGCTGCTGAAGAGGCGGATGTCTCCCCCCGTTCCTGACCGCCCTCTGTTAGCTCTTCCTCACTGTACTGGATGACACCGGGAGCACTAGCCTCTGGCTGCAAATAGTGCTGCCTCGACCCCTTCCTCTGCTGCCACGTCTGCTCGCTCCTAAAACATTGCCTCCTCTGCCACTCCTCTGCATGTTGTCTGACATACTCTTTAATTAAACGATTCTGTGTCCCTGAGTAACAATTCTGTGTCCCTGAGTAACATTTCTGTGGCCCTAAGTAACAGTTCTGTGGCCCTAAGTAACAGTTCTGTGGCCCTCAGTAACAATTCTGTGTCTGTCCCTGAGTAACAATTCTGTGTCCCTCAGTAACAATTCTGTGTCCCTCAGTAACAATTCTGTGTCCCTGAGTAACAATTCTGTGTCCCTGAGTAACATTTCTGTGGCCCTAAGTAACAGTTCTGTGGCCCTAAGTAACAGTTCTGTGGCCCTCAGTAACAATTCTGTGTCTGTCCCTGAGTAACAATTCTGTGTCCCTCAGTAACAATTCTGTGTCCCTGAGTAACAATTCTGTGTCCCTGAGTAACGTTTCTGTGGCCCTAAGTAAAAGTTCTGTGGCCCTAAGTAACAGTTCTGTGGCCCTCAGTAACAATTCTGTGTCTGTCCCTGAGTAACAATTCTGTGTCCCTCAGTAACAATTCTGTGTCCCTCCAATTCTGTGTCCCTCAGTAACAATTCTGTGTCCCTCAGTAACAATTCTGTGTCCCTGAGTAACAATTCTGTGTCCCTGAGTAACGTTTCTGTGGCCCTAAGTAACAGTTCTGTGGCCCTAAGTAACAGTTCTGTGGCCCTCAGTAACAATTCTGTGTCCCTCAGTAACAATTCTGTGTCCCTCAGTAACAATTCTGTGTCCCTGAGTAACAATTCTGTGTCCCTGAGTAACGTTTCTGTGGCCCTAAGTAACAGTTCTGTGGCCCTAAGTAACAGTTCTGTGGCCCTCAGTAACAATTCTGTGTCTGTCCCTGAGTAACAATTCTGTGTCCCTCAGTAACAATTCTGTGTCCCTCAGTAACAATTCTGTGTCCCTGAGTAACAATTCTGTGGCCCTCAGTAACAATTCTGTGTCCCTCAGTAACAATTCTGTGTCCCTGAGTAACAATTCTGTGTCTGTCCCTGAGTAACAATTCTGTGGCCCTAAGTAACGGTTCTGTGGCCCTCAGTAACAATTCTGTGTCCCTGAGTAACAATTCTGTGTCTGTCCCTGAGTAACAATTCTGTGGCCCTAAGTAACGGTTCTGTGGCCCTCAGTAACAATTCTGTGTCCCTGAGTAACAATTCTGTGTCCCTCAGTAACAATTCTGTGTCCCTCAGTAAAAATTCTGTGTCCCTCAGTAAAAATTCTGTGTCTGTCCCTGAGTAACAATTCTGTGTCTGTCCCTGAGTAACGTTTCTGTGGCCCTAAGTAACGGTTCTGTGGCCCTCAGTAACAATTCTGTGTCCCTCAGTAACAATTCTGTGTCTGTCCCTGAGTAACAATTCTGTGTCTGTCCCTGAGTAACAATTTTGTGTCCCTGAGTAACGTTTCTGTGGCCCTAAGTAACAGTTCTGTGGCCCTCAGTAACAATTCTGTGTCTGTCCCTGAGTAACAATTCTGTGGCCCTAACTAACGTTTCTGTGGCCCTAAGTAACAGTTCTGTGGCCCTCAGTAACAATTCTGTGTCTGTCCCTGAGTAACAATTCTGTGGCCCTAACTAACGTTTCTGTGTCCCTAAGTAACAATTCTCTGGCACTCAGTAACAATTCTGTCTGTCCCTGAGTAACAATTCTGTCTGTCCCTGAGTAACAATTCTGTGGCCCTAACTAGCGTTTCTTTGGCCCTAAGTAACGATTCTGTGGCCCTCATTAACAATTCTGTGTCCCTGAGTAATGCTTCTCTGTCCCTAAGTAACGTTTCTCTGTCCCCAAGTAACGTTTCTGTGGCCCTAACTCTGTCCCTAATACAGAGCGGTCTGCCTCTCTTGAATGACTGGAGGCAAATGAAGAATTCTAAAATGGCCGCTATTTATAGCTCGACCATTACACAGTGCTGGCTGGCTGGCTGCTGATTGGCTATTGTGATCACATGTCATTAAGGAATGCATTATGGGTCAGCGCGCCTTGTCTGCGCGCCTTCCCAGACATCCCCGCTCCGTCGCCGCACATGTCCGCCGCCATTTTAGGAAAAATTTCGATTCGCGCGTCCGAAGTAGGCTATTTTTCGGATTCGGCGCGAATCGAAAATTTTCCAATATTCGACTCGAATTCCACTTTGCCTACTTCGATTCGCTCATCTCTAATAATAATAAAAAGTGCAGAACTGTAGAATAATCTTTTCTGTAATAGAAGTTTTTTTTTAAACTCTTTTTTTTTATTAACAAATACAAAATAGCATTGCAATTTTAAATGATTTATATAAAATTGTAGAAAGGACTTTACAGGACCTGACAGACCCATTCCTTCTGGGACGTATCATACTGGGGCTGGGGCTATGCAAACTGTGGTGTAGGTTCCATGTATCTTTGGAGGGCACTGGCAGGTGAATAGATTGGGCCTCGACTTTGCCCTTCCTGTTTATGTATTGTAAACTTGGTTCTTCTGTTAAATTTCTTTTTTTTTTGTTTTGGGTGAAATTATGATAATAAAAAAATCAGTATAATTTGGAGTTGTGTAGGTTTTTTTTTAATCTAAAAAAAGAAAAGGAAAAAGAAAGGTACAACAAACGTGTGCTGAAAAGCTGAAACCAAATACAGATAATGCAGATAGTATTCTTTTTTGTTTGTTTGTTTCTTGTTGAAGGAATCCCATTTTGAATAGACTTCTTTTGCAATTTCCACCCATCCCTGATGCTGCTCTGACTTGTTCTTATGTTCTGGGTCAGCAGGAATGTATAATTAAGTTCAGGGCCTCACCAGCTGTATCAGCACCTCTGTCTTTATCATGTTGGCTTGCTGTCTTGGATCTGGCTTCCTGGTTTGCTGGGCAGCATGGGAAGTCTGTTAGTAGTCAAGCATGTAAAAAAATACAAAACGTGTAAAAAACACTCTCAAAATGCAGCACTTGCGTTGTATATGTAGTTCCATTGAAGTGTATTGAACCAAAAATGCAAACTGCTGCTGGAAAAGGAGTCCCTTACCCTTTCTAAAAAACACAAATGATCTTTAGTGCCTGTGGACTTGGTAACCCTGTTAACCATTGTGGATCCCTGTCCAGTTTAACCATTTATCTAAGGGTTTAGTATAGGTGGAACCGCACCTTGGGTTCATATATTCTCTAGTGCTCCTCTTGCGTTGGGCATTTTTGAGAGTATCTTGCCCTACATTCCTTAATTACATTACATTACTTAATGCCCATAATGGCTGGACAGTCTTCTCTCTTCTCTACATGAGCCTATACCCTCTTGCCTCTAAACTACTATTACAGTAGATGTGTGCTGCATATAACCTGTTAACAGCACTATTCTTATCTATAAGATGGACAGTAGACAGTGACAACATAACATATAACCATCAATCAATACAGTTTGATTAAGGGAAGTAAAATAGGTACCCTTTGTTCTGAAAATGCCTTACCGATCACGGAAGTCTGATAACTCAAATGTAAGCTTACCTTAACCACTTGCCTACCAGGCACTTATACCCCCTTATTTACCAGGCCAATTTTCAGCTTTCAGAGCTGCCGCACTTTGATTGACAATTGCGCGGTCATGCAACATTGTACCCATATGAAATTTTTGAATTTTTTTTCTCACAAATAGAGCTTTCTTTTGGTGGTATTTAATCGCCACTGGGCGCTTTACTTTTTGCGCTATAAATAAAAAAAGTGCAAAAAAATTTGAAAAAAAAAAAAAGTTTCTTTGTTTCTATTATAAAATTTTTCAAACAGGTAATTTTTTTATCCTTCACTGATGTGCGTTGATGAGGCAGCACTTATGGGCACTGATAGGCGGCACTGATGGGCACTGATAGGCAGCACTAAAGGGCACTGATAGGCAGCACTAATGAGGTGGCACGGATAGGCGGCACTGATAGACAGCACTAATGAGGTGTCACGGATAGGCGGCACTAATATGCAGCACTGATAGGCGCACTGATAGGTGACACTGATGATGGCTACTGATAGACGGCACTGACTGGCATCACTGCTGGGCACTGACTGGTGGCACTGACTGGCACAACCACTGGGCACTGACTGGTGGCACTGACTGGCAGCACTG